CAAAATGGCGGATCCAATATGGTGGGTGACGAAATTTAAAATTAATAGGATTGAATTGCAATTAATTACTCGGATTTAAAATTTTTGAAATCTAATTCCAAATTTGTAATCAGTGACCTCAAAATCTCCCGAGTAACGAGTTTTGAGCAATTTTAATGTTCAGGACCATAAATATCGACTTGTTAACTTTGAGATTGTTTTTCTCGAAAACTTGATTTGGACACAAGGTTTTTTCTTAACTGTCCAGGTCACATATGTTTGTGAAGTGAGAATGAGAAGAAAACTTGAACATAGTTGTGTACGAAGAGGGTCAATACATGAGTAAATTTAAGAACATTTTTTTCTACTTCTTAAGGGATTACTGTTCGTGAACTGCTTAAATTACAGAACTGTCTATGAATGACTCACTCCCTTTCAGAGCCGCCAGTTACTTCCTTATTTTACCAGACTGACTTGTAATGTACAAGGGTAAGCTTACAAGTTTGTCCAGTTCTTGTTTGTATTGATAGGAAAGTTTATCCATTTAATTACTGTCCTTGGCTTTTTGTCCAAGCAGTGCAATAGCAGTTCTGTATTTGTTGCAGATATAATTTTCTCCGTGTAATGGTTACTTAATATTATTACAGGCTTCGCACTCATCTATATTTAAACCTACTATTTTTAACTCTTTTTTTACATTATGCTACTATTTGGGTACTTTTTTATATTTCAGCCGCTAAAAGATACTATTTCAGTTTTTTTTTTGTAAATTTCCACTACTTTAAATTCGCTAATACTAGAAATCAAAAAACTATTCGAAAAAATTAAAATCAAATTCTTTAAAACGATTCAATTATTTCCAAAAATATTCGAAATTCAATTATTTTCAGTATCTAGTATTTTCATAAAGTTTCTCAAAATAATTCAATTATTTAAAAAAAAAATTGATAAAATTCATCCAAAATTCAATTATTTTCGTAAAAATAATAAAATTTCCACAGGAATTCAATTAATTTAGAATAGCATTTTTGACAAAATCAATTATTTAACAAAATTTTTATACAATTATTATTCACAATAATTCAATTACTTTCACTAATAATAACATTTTTTAACGAAATTCAATTTTTCAAAAAAAATTTTCATAAAATTCTAAACAAGAATTCAATTATTTTCATAAATAATAAAATTTTTCGCAGAAATTCAATTCTTTTTAAACATTTTAATCAAATTTTTCGCAATAATTCAATTATTTCCATAAATAATAAAATTCTTCGAAGGAATTCAATTATTTTTAAAAATTTTAATAAAATTCTCAGCAAGTATTCAATTATTTTCATAAATAATAAAATTTATCGCATAGGATTTGAATTATTTTTAATACAATTTTACAAGAATTGCTAAAAGAAATGTAATTATTATAAAAACTTTAATTTCAAATCCTCAAAAAAATCAATTTTTTTAAAAAAGTGTTTATTTAAATTCTTTAGAATAATTTAATTATTAACAAAAATATTAGAATTTTTCACAGAAATTCAAATATTTAAAAATAGAATTTGCATAAATCTTTTTGAAAAAATAAAAAGTTTTAAAATTTGGCATAAAATTCTTCGCAGTAATTCAATTCTCTTCATAAATAATAAAATTCTTCTCAGAAATTCAATTATTTTTGAAAATTTTAATAAAGTTTATACCAACTATTCAATTATTTTCATAAATAATAAAATTCATCGCAGGATTTCAATTATTTTAAATACAATTTTACAGTAATTGTTCAAAAAAATGTAATTATACTTAAAAATTTCATTTCAATTCCTTGAAAAAATCAATTATTTAAAAAAATGTTTTTTAAAATTCTTTGAAGAATTCAATTATTTACAAAAATATTAAAATTTTTCACAGGAATTCAATTATTTTTTTATTCTTATAAATAATCATCACAAGAATTCAATTATTTATAAAAGTAATAATTTTTTCTTCGAAATTCAATTATTTAAAAGAATTCTAATAAAATCCTTTACAAGAGTTTTATTATTCTCAGAAATAATAAAATTCTTTTCAGAAATTCAATTATTTTTGAAAATTTTAATAACATTCTTAGCAACTATTCAATTATTTTCATAAATAATAAACTTTATCTTAGGATTTCAATTATTTTTAATATAATTTTACAGGAATTGCTCAAAAAATGTTATTATTCTAAAAAATTTAACTTCAATTCCTCAAAAGAAAACAATTATTTAAAGAAATGTTTTTCTTAAATTCTTTGGAAGAATCCAATTATTTATAAAAATATTAGAATTTTTTTACTGGAATTCAATTATTTTCAAATATTTTAATAGAATGTTGGAAAGAAATCAATTTTTCTAAAATACAATTTCAATTAAAGTTTTTTGAAATAATTCAATTATTTTTTTAGATTTTAATAAAATTCTTCCCAACAATTCAATTATTTACATAAATAATTCTTTGAAAGAATTCAATTCTGTCGATGAATAGCAAAATTATTGTCGAAAATGCAATTATTTTTAGACATTTTAATAAAATTCTTTGCAAAATTCAATTATTTTCATAAATAACAATATTCATCACAAGAATTCAATTATTTTTAAAAGTAATAAATTTTTTCTTAGAAACTCAATTATTTTAAAAAATCCTAATAAAATCTTTCGCAAGAATTCAATTATTTTGACAAATAATAAAAAAAATTTTTAGAAATTCAATTATTTTCAAAAGAAATTTAATAAAATACCACACAGACATTCAATTATTCAATTATTTTCAAAAATTTTTTGAAGTTCAATTATTTTCAATATTTAGTATTTTTATAAAATTTTCCATAAAAAGTGAATGATTTTCTAAAATTTTAATAAAATTCTTCGCTGATAGTTAATTATTTTCAAATATTTTAATAAAATTCTTAGCAACTATTTAATTATTTTCATAAGTAATATAAAATTCATCGCAGGATTTCATAATTATTTTTAATACAATTTTACAGGAATTGCTAAAAAAATGTAATTATTCTTAAAAATTTAATTTCAATTCCTCGAAAAAATCAATTATTTAAAAAAATGTTTTTTTTAAATTCTTTGGAAGAATTTAATTATTTACAAAAATATTGGAATTTTTCACAGGAATTCTATTAATTTTTAAATATTTTAATGAAATTAATGAAATTCTTTCAAAAGAATTTAATTATGTCGATTAATAACAAAATTATTCACAAAAATTCAATTATTTTGGGGCATTTTAAAAAAGTTCTTTACAAAATTTAATTATTTTCATAAATAACAATAATCATCACAAGAATTCAATTATTTTTAAATGCAATAATTTTCTTCTTAAAAATTCAATTATTTTTAAAAGTAATAAATTTCTTCTTGGAAATTGAATTATTTAAAACATTCTAATAAAGTCGTTCTCAAAAATTCAATTATTTTAATAAATAATAAAATGCTTTTTCGGAATTAAATTATTTAAAAAAAAATTTAATAAAATACCGCACAGACATTCAATTATTGTCAAAAAATTAAATTTTTTGTATAATTTAATTATTTTTAAAAACTTTTCGCAATTCAATGATTTTGAATATCTACTAGTTTCATAAAATTTCCAAACAGAATTCAATTACCTATTTAAAAAATTGTTTGCAAAAATTTTCATAAAAATTCAATTCTTTTCATGAATAATAAAAATTTTTCAGGAATTCAATTATTTAAATTAGAATTTGCATAAAATTAGTCGAAAGAAATTAATTATTTGGAAATTTTCATAAATTTCTTCGCAAGAATTAAATTATTTTTATAAATATTTAAATTTTTTCATGAACAATAAAATTCTTTTGCAGGAATTTAATTTATTATTGCAGGATAAGATAGAGGTAAATATTTTTGATGAAAATTAGGAAAAAGTCATGAAAATAAAAAATATGGAATTTAATTTTTGTCAGTTTTTGTGTCTAAAACGAGTATTTTTGGTTGTCAAGTTTAACTTTTCGATAGGCTACTTTTCTACTACTTTTTTTTTAGTTTGAAAGCTACTTTTTTAAAAATTAATTATCGAATGCGAAGTTTTAATATTATAATATGTGACCCGTTTGAAATGTAAGATGTAACAATTACGTTTGCTAGGTTATTCTGTTTCTTTAGAATTGTTACGAATTGTTTATGGGACTTGCTTTTCTAATTCAATATTTTCAAATTGATGTTTTAGTTTTCAAGCGACAGAAATTTTGGGGGAAATTTTTCATCCACTTTTCCTAAGATGATTCTTGGTATATTGTGTCAACCGACATTCTCATTGTGCAGTTGACACAATTTAAATATATACCTACAGTCGCACTGAAATGCTTCTAGTTAATTAAGTAATAGGAGCAAAGACTTATTAAAATACTTATTGCCTGAAAAATGAAGCTTGAACTCTAATTACAGTAAGCTTTCGCAAAATTGTGTCAACCACAATTGTAAATTCCTTCCTTGCATTTGCAAATAAACATTTGGTTCCGATAAACAATCGAATTTTTATCGGTCAACCGAAATTTGTCAAACAACAAGGATTCTGATGTCAGCACGAAATCTTTTTCCGAAGGCGCATATTGCACTAAAAAGAAATGTACAAAATTAGTACCAATTTTGGTACTAAATAGTAATTTGTTTTAATCATAATACCGAAGTCAGCTCTTAATTTAGGACGGTTTTTTTACAATAAATATCAGAGTGATAAATATGAGAGTGACTTGTCAACGCACTTGTTGGGAATATTAATATTGATAAGATATTAAGGAAAAGGGATAATAAAAATTTGTAAAAAGTGGAAGATAGGTTGATGTGCTGAGAGGAATGAGAAATGGTGTTGGAAGTAAAGGAGGCGAAATTTTGGTGGCGTGCCCTAAAAGTAAATAAGGAACACGTGCTTAGACAATAAGTCATGCATTTCGGCCTGAGTGGAAACTTGAAGATCTAAAAGTGAAGAGCACACGAGAGTTGTGCTTTATTCGAACCGTACAGTTGGAATGGAAGAGAGAAGGATTCTGGTGTATATAAGGATACAGCGGAAGCATGCGCTTTGGTATCATATTGATCTTGCCATAGTAACGATTCTCTCTTCTCTCTGGCAAATGTTGGCATCACGCACTATAGCTGGAAGGGTGAAAGAGAAGGAAACGAGAAAGGGAGAAAGAGTGAACTTGAGAAAGATGGGAAAAGAGAAGATCGAGATGGAAAGAGTAAGATAAAGATGCAAGAGAAGAGAAGAGACGAAGGGTGTAGTATAGTAGGGTTTTGCACACCGCATGGTATACCATACAAGGGAGGGAAGGATACTGCAGACATACACACGCGAGAGAGAGTGGATTCGGGATAATATAGGAAGCAACGTGGATGTGCAAGAGTGCAGACCTATAGGACATGGACGCAATTCGCCTCTCTGCTCTGCGGGTTAAATGAAAATCAGTTCAGCGTTGGTTGTCGCGGAGGGCGCATCTTACTGCCCCTAAAAAACAGTCTCTTTCATTCCTTCGACACAAACACGAGATGCGCCTCAAACAAATAATTCGGTATCGCAACCTCCTACTGATCTGAGTTTTTCTCTCATCTTCGTCGAATGATCAGTTATCGCAACTGCTGTTCGTGTCACCACCAGTAGCAGCAGTAGCGCAGAGATAAGCTGCTACGTAATATATATATATATACACAGGGTGGTTGATGGGAGCAGCGTAAAAAAAAAGTGCTGAATCTTTGCACAGAATTCGAGATATGTCGATGCACAATGCTGCAAAGGAAAGAAAGTAATTTTTCAAGTAGTGTTATTATATCAGTCGACGCACTATCTGACACCGGGACTAAGGGACCGGACACTGCACAAATTTGGGTGCAGTCACGTGCCCCCGATATAGAGGATATGTTTCTTTTTCATCACGAAACAATCGTCTCTCAATCCTGGTGGTTCTGTCTTTCGTTATAATATACAAATAATAGTGACGTGATAATTGGCGGCTGCAGACAACTGGCAGCTGCTTACGGTCACCAACTTCTCAAGAGAAGAACGTACGTGCCTGCTGGACTTGTCTGCCTAAAAACGAAAATAAATAAACCGATCCTTGTCTTCCTTTACTTTATGCCAAAATGAGACGGTGGACTCTCATGGCGGCAATTGCCCTCGCAGCTTCAGGTAAGTCATGCTTTTTTCTCTCCATTTCGCAACCCTTCATTCACAGCTTTTCAATATATCAAAAAATTAAAAAAAAAAAAAAAATGAAACCTATGCTTATTATCACATACATTCATAATACCACAGTTACAGTAAAGATAAGGATTTTTCTTCTGTATTTTTTTTCTAATTCAATCAAACAATCCGAAACAATTTCTTTTCATCATAAACAAGAGATTTATTTTTAAACATTTTTTTTTTTTTATAAAAAGCTTCTCACAAACATATGAATCTTACTACTTTACTGTGTAAGCAATCACATTTTTTCAAATTCCTAATCTCAGTTGCAGAGTCTCAGCCATGATTTGGAAACCATCTTTCGTTCCAAGTGCAGGATATCTCATTTGCATTTTTCGAATCTACCTACTTCTCCATTCTATTCTTTTACTTTTCATATCACGGACATAGTTTCGTTTGTTTATGACCTCTTTTCCGTCTTCTCAAACTATTCTTCAGATATAATAATAATAATAATGATAATAATAATAATAATGATAATAATAACAATAATAATAAGAGGAATAATAATAATAATAATAATAATAATTCATAATAATGATGATGATGATAATAGTAATAATAATTCTTTTGAAACCTATCAACATCATTACAACTTTTAATAATAATAATAAGAATCAGAGTAGTAATAATAATAATAATTCATAACATGATGAAGATAATAATAATAACGATTCTTTTGAAACCTATCAACATCGTTACAATTTTTAATAATAATAATAAGAGTAATGTGATGATGATGAAGATGATAACCTTGGAGTTATCATTTCCCAAAATTCCCTAAGCAAAAAAAAAAAGAAAAAAAAATTCATAATTTGATGATGATGAAGATAATAATAAGAGTAATAATAATAATAATAATTCGTAATATGATGATGATAATAAAAAGATGATAATAATAATAATAATAATAATTCTTTTGAAACCTATCAACATCGTTACAACTTTTAATAATAATAATTCATAACATGATGAAGATGATAATAATAATAATGATTCTTTTGAAACCTATCAACATCGTTAGAATTTTTAATCATAAGAGTAATGTGATGATGATGAAGATGCTAACCTTGGAGTTATCATTTCCCAAAATTCCCTAAGCAAAAAAAAAAAGAAAAACAAAATTCATAATTTGATGATGATGAAGATAATAATAAGAATAAGAGTAATAATAATAATTCATAATATGATGATGATAATGAAGATGATGATAATAATAATAATTTTAACTATATTAATCTCCGTATTCTTTCATTCATTCTGTCCGCAATTTGAAGTTAGTTTCTGTGTGTGCTTTTGTTTGTTTTTTTCTTCAAAAAATATTGTTTGACAAATCGAAAATATGCAGGTATTTTTTCACGATTCTTAATAAAATAATTTTTGTTTTGAGGTTTAGGCCGAAGAATCCAAATTTTCCATTAAAAAATTTTGAAGACAATTTTTAAGTTTGTCTTTAAGTGACTTTTAACAAATTAATAAAATAATATTACATATTCGAAAATTTATAAAAAATTATGATTAACAAAATGAAAAATATACCCATTTTGAATGTTATATGCTTTTTTCTACAACAAATTTCGTTTGACTGATCTAAATTATTATGCAAATTATTCTCCTTTTTATTTATAAAAAATAGGTACTAGAAAATATTGTTAATTGTTAAAAAAATTTTATTAGTAGGAAATATACATATTTTATGCATAATTTTTATTTCTCAATAACAGTATTGTTTACAAACTCTTTTTTTTCTTTTGGGAAGAAGGTTTCTTAATATTTTTTGTAGAAAATTTTCAATTTTCATAAGGAAATAATTTGCATCAATTCTATTTCTTAATTTCAATTTTATTGTTTTAATAAAATTCGAAGTTTTTTTTTGAAAATTAAGGAAAAAAATGTTTATAAATTATATTTGTCAATTAAAAAATTTAATTGAACGTGAAACTGAAAATTTTTGAATTTTTAGAAAATAGAGGAACAAATTTTACTGAAAAAAATGTTCTGTTACATTTATTTACGAATATCTTTCATTGTAAAATTATTCGAAAACAATAATTTCTTTTTTAAATATTTAATTATTATTATTTTTCCGTAGGAATTAAAATTCTTTAATACATTCAAATTCAAACCTTTTAGAAATTAATCAACTTTAAAAATATTGTTATAAAACATAAAGATAACGATAACTCCGAGTCGAAGACTCGCAGTAATCGTTATCTTTCTGTTTTATAATAATTAAAGAAGATCGAGTGTTAAAATAATTATTTTATATTCTAAGAATATTGTTACTGTAACATCTTAAAAAATTATTTTCATATTCTATTATCTCTAAAATTTAAACTAAAATTCATTTTCAAATCAATTCTTATTAGAAAATTCTACGAGAATTCAATTATTTAAATACAAAAGTAAATTATTCATTGAATAATTGAATGTTTCTTAAAATTTAATTCTTATAAATAATTTTATAAACAAATTTTTAAATAATTAAATTCTTTTATTTTAAAGAATTTTATTAACAAATTTTTAAGTAATTAAATTCTTTTGACGAATTTTAATAAAATTTTTTAACTAAAATTCTTCTATAAATCCATTATTTTTAATAATTAATTAAATATTTATTGACAAATTTAACTAATTTTAGAAGATTTTGAATTATTAAAATTGTTCAAAAATCTAAGTTCATTAAAATTTCTAATTAAATTAATTCAACATTTAAATTTTATAAAATTTCAAATTAAAACGGTTTGAAGTTCATTTATTTATGAAAATTGTAAACGCAACTTTTTTAAAATTGAATTAATTTTGAAATATTTAAGTAAAATTATTCATTAAATAATTTATTTATTTTATGATAGTTGTTCAAGATTTATGTTATTTAAAAAGAAATTTTTGTTAGAAATTGAAAAAATAGGTTTTGCATATTAGAATTCGTGGTAATTTTATAGTTTATGAGTTAAACAAAAAAAAAACACAAAAATTCAGAATTTTCTTATGAATTCTAAAAATTTAATTTTTTTCAGTACTTTTAGTAAAAATTTCTGACTTTTCCCTGAATTCTCTAAGTCAGAATATATTATTATTATTATAATTATAATAATATTAAAACTATATATTCCAATTCACATATTTTATTTTTATAAAACAAAAATTTTAAATTATTTTTAAAATTGTTGCTAGTAATAAATTCATAATAAAAAAAAATAATGATGATGATGATGATGATGATGAAAATAATAATAATATTGGGTACAAAATTTTCTTTTCGAAACAATGTGGTCAACCTTAAATATTAGATAGAGAATAACATCAAGAGTGGCATTCCCCCCTCCCTGCAGTAACGAATATTGCACTCACTGCTTAAGGCTAACAAGAACTTATTTAATATATGTGAAATAAGTATTAATATTAAAATGCGTATATATTTTTAAATTACTTTTTTAATAACACTCAAAAAAATTTCTTCTAAAAATTCAACTACTATTGAGTAGTAGAGTGAAAATTAATTAAATTAATTACTTTTTCAGTTAATCTAACACTGTTTGTATGGTAAATTTTACCATACTTCTTATGTAGTAAAGTCAGGGAAATGTAAGCGAAAAAAATTTTTTTGTCAGGGGAATTAAGAAAATTGATTCTTTTTTCGACGTTTCTTCCAAACATTGCAACAAAATACACCACAATTTTTATTTTTAAAAAAGTGCAACTTATTTTGATTTTTATAATACGAAAAATAACTATAAACAAATCTTCCAAAAATTATTTTTGAATCATTTTTGAATAGTTGAAATTTTTTTGGTTGCCATTTTGATATCGCCATATTTTCAATTTTCGACAACAGATTTGAATTGGAACAATTTCGAAAAAATACGAATTTGAACTTCTTGTACAATAATTTCTATTAATTTTCAACGGCAACTTTTTTAATGTTGCTTTCATACTGCTAATAAATCTTCTGTCCCATGAATTTTGAAAGATTTCAATTTATACAAAAAATAAAATTTCTTAAAAATATGAAAATGGTAAAATTCTCGAGGAAACATTTCTTTTATTTTTTCTAATAGCAAAAAGTTCTGGGTTACAAAGAAAACACAAAAAGATTGACCTCCTTTCCAAAAGGTAATTTTTTATTAGTCGAAATGCCACTGGTGTTACTCTCAAAATTCAACTTCTTGCACAATTTTTATTATTATTCATTGACAATTGTTTTTTAGACCTTTTTCATGGTTTCGCTAGGTTACCACAGGTCAGGGGAATCAGAACAAAATAATTAGCGACGAAAATCAGGGAAATATCAAAGAATTTTATTAAAAGAACTGGAAAAATATCAAATTTCTAAAATTACTACAAAAATTCTAGTTTATATTGTGTTTAAAAAAGTTTTTTTTTAAAACTTAAAAACGTTTAAATCAGTTCAAATTTTTTTCATCTTAAAAACTTTTGAATGACAACGACTTTTAAAACAATAACTAAATAATTTTCCTATTTCTGTAAAAAGTAATTTCAAATAATTAAATTCTAGAACAAATTTTCTCAAATTATTATTATTAATAATTAATAATAATTATTGTAATAATTATTAATTATAAATAATTTAGAAATGGTTTTAGTTAAAAACAGTTGCAATTTGCAAAAATATAATTAAATTTCAAATGATTTCTAATTCAAATTTTTCGAAATTTCCAATTGCTCTAAAGAGTTAATAATAAAATATTTATTTGAAAAATTCAAGTTTTAAGTACCTAATATTATTTTTAATTGTAAAAAAAATTTGTTTTCGGAGAAATTCAATTTCAATTTATTCTTAAGAAAATTTGAGTTTTTAAAAACATTTTATTAAAAAAATTTCAAATTACTTCTAATTTTGTGCTTTTGAATTGAAAACGATTAAATTTTGTTAAAATTATTCATTTGAGACTTTAAGGGAAATTGAATTATTCAGAAAA